TATCATCTATCTATCTATCTATCTATCTATCTATCTATCTATCTATCTATCTATCTATCTATCTATCTATCTATCTATCTATCTATCATCTTCTTGTCTGTTCATCCATCCATCCAATTGAGGAATTGGCCATGTCCCTCACAGAGGGCATACAAAATAAAATATTAAAAGCATAAAAACAGTATTCTTTAAAAAAAAATTCATATAATTAAGCAGGGACACCTGCCCACCCCAGATGCCTGTCCCGAATAGAGGGACAGAAATGGCAAACCCAGCCTGAATCCCTGGCCGACTGTACAACCACCAATCACCACTTGTTCCTTTCTCCCCACGCAGTTCTTCCCCAATGGCAACGCTTTCGCCACTGGCTCCGACGATGCCACATGCCGGCTTTTCGATCTCCGTGCCGACCAAGAGCTCATGGTCTATTCCCACGACAACATCATCTGTGGCATCACCTCCGTAGCATTCTCCAAGAGCGGACGCCTCCTGCTAGCCGGTTATGACGACTTCAACTGCAACGTGTGGGACACGCTCAAAGCGGACAGAGCAGGTCAGCCTTGGCCCTCTTTTTGGGTGGGGGCGAAAGGGGGGCACGTGGCTGGGGAAGACCAGTGGCGGATGAGGGAAGATGTGAGGGAGGAAGATGGGTGAATGAATGAATATTAAATCCTTGAACAAAAATTCAGCCACTCATGATTATTTCCCCCTTCCTTCCCTCCCTCCGTCCCTCCCTCCCTCCTGCTTCCTTCCTTCCTGCTTTCTCTGTCCTTCTCTCTTGCTTTCTCTCTCTCTCCTCCCTTCCTCCCACTTCCTTCCCTCCCTCCCTTTCCCTTCCTTCCTGCTTTCTCTGTCCTTTCTTCTCTCTCCTTCCTCCCTCTCTTCCTCCCTCCCCCCCCCCCATGACATGATTCTCTGTGCATATACATTTGTTACTTGGCTGTATTGCAACTCTCCTGCTGCATTGTGTTTCATTCTCCTCTTCTCTCTCCCCCCCTCCCTGCAGGCGTCTTAGCTGGCCACGATAACCGCGTCAGTTGCTTAGGTGTGACAGACGATGGCATGGCGGTGGCAACAGGATCGTGGGATAGCTTCCTCAAGATCTGGAACTGAAGCCTGTAGGTATCCATTCCCACGCTCCCCTTCCCCAAAGTAGCGGGCTGAGGGAAATGCAATCTGCTTCCATCTTCCCTTAAAGTGGATTATGGGGTTTAGGGAGGGAGAACAGTCAGCAAAAGTGTCCAGCCTAATCCTGACCTGAGGGGCAGGGAAACCATCGTATCAAATGATCATCAGGGGTAGGAACAAAACATTCCAGTTTAAGGGATGCTAGGTCCTTCACGGGTAGTAAGCGGCTGCCTGTCCATCTGTCTGTCCTGTGCTTGAGCTGGAGACGTGGCTGAACAAGAGGGCAAAGCCATCAGTGGCTTTGTTAATTTCCCTCAGTACAATTAGTCCTTGGCTTACAACATTTCGCTGAGTGACTGTTCCAATTAACAACAGCACTGGGGGAAAAATGGATTATGGCCGTTGCAGCATCCCCATGGTCACATGACCAAAATCCGGCCACTTGGCAAACTGGCATGTACCTATGACTGTTGCATTGTGTGTGTGTGTGTGTGTGTGTGTCTTGATCCCCTATTGTGACCTTCTGACAAGCAACCTCAATGGGGAAGCCTGGTTCACTTAACAACCGCCGTGACTAACTTAGCTATTGCAATGATTCATTTCACACAGCGGCAAGATGGGGGGAGGGGGAGCAAAACTCCTTTAACATCTCTCGCTTAGCGATGGAAATTTTGAGCTCATTTGTGGTTGCAAGTTGAGGATTATCTTTATATATATGTATAAAAGCCAAATACCACTCACTCATCACGAAATCTCCATAACTGTAAAGCCTACAAACTTGAAATTTGGCACGTAATTTCCTCTTGGCTTCTAGGTGCTCGCTAAGAAAGGATTTTTCAAAATGACCATCGGATCATTAGTATTTCATATATTCACACTTTGATGCTAAGGAGTTCTACTCCCCCTCCCCATCTGAATGGGAACTCTGTTCCAACTGCCTTATATTAATACGCTCTGATGCTAAGGAGTTAGACAATCTACTCCCCCTCCCCAACTGAAAGGAACTCTCTTCCAACTGCCATTTGCCTTATATTAACACCCTCTGATGCTAAGGAGTTACACATTCTACATTAATTTTCAAGCTTTAAGTGTCAATGTATCATGCCCGATGTAACTACTCATTAAATTTCAAACTTTTAAGTGTCTGTCTGTCTATCTATCATCTATCTATCTATCTATCTATATCAGGGGTGGGGTCCGTTTAGAACAGGCTCCAGCTCCCTCCCCCCACCCGTCCGCATATCATCAAGATAAATGTGAGAGGAGGAATTGTGGGAGTCCACAAGTCTTACAGCTGTCAAGTTTGAACACCCCTGGGGATTTTTTTTCTAAAGGATTAGGGGTGCGAGGGTCTTGTAACTTGACAGCTTTAAGACTTGCGTGCTTCAAATGCCAGAGTTTCTAAGCCAACACTTTGGTTGCTAAGCAAGAGCGTTGTTAAGTGAGTTTCACCACATTTTATGAGTTGGCCACGCCTACCCAGTCACATGACTGCCAATCCACTCCCATCCAGTCACATGGCCGGCAAGCCACTCCCATAAAGCAGGCCACACCTACAGAAGATTTTTGAAACCCACCATTGATTTATATCTATCTATCTAACTTGTTTTCATAGATTTTCACTGGTGTAGGTATGCTGGTCTTTTTATATTCGGGTCTTTTCCCGTGTAAGATTTTAAAGCTTATATAGATATATATAAATATATCCCCAGTAGCTTTGCTTCCTAACTAAGGTTTCTTTCTCTCTGTGTATTCTCTTTCAGGAAAGTCCGTGGACTCCCCGCTGATCAGAAGAATTTTTTTTCCCAACGGTTGAAAGTTTAAAATAATGTATCCAACTCAATATACTAACTTGGATCCCCTTCCCTGCCTTCCACTCTCTCTCTCTCCTCCCCTTCCCCCTTCCTACCCTACCACCAAAGGGCAAAATATCTTTTCACGCCTCTTGTTCGCCGAAAGCAAAAGAGCACAATTCTCTCTCTCCAAAGAGGAATCACGATTGTTATACCAGTAATAGCAAAAGAGATCAAAATTGTGCATTCCATTGGGGACCACATGTTGTTATTATCATTATTACTTTGGGGTGGGGTTTGTCTAGAGAAAAAAAACAGGAAAAAAATTAAAAAGAAAATCACACGCTTGTTGTAAGCATGCCCGGGCAAAACTTAAAAGCAAAGTAAATGATATGATAAATAAGTAAGGAAAACAAACACCTTGTCAAAAGTAAAAGATAACCATTTAAGTTTCACTATAGTTTAAACAAAAAAAAAAGGCAAATGATACTGACTTTATGGATTATGGTGGGAAGGCTTCGTTTTAAATCTCATTTCTGAAACTCACGTTTGTAGCAAGATTGGTATCTCCTCTCCTTTTTTTTTTGGTCCATGTTTCCATATCCTTTTTCCCTTTTCTTAAAACTTTTATTTTATTTTTTAAACGCAAATTTGCTTTTTATGGTCCAAATTTTGAACCAAGAGAGATGGAGTCCCAACCCAGATGTTTCTGGAGTTGTTAAAATGCTGTAAATTTACTCCCTGGATTTTCTTTTATCCTTTCTTTTATCCTTTTTTTTTTAAAAAAAAAATCTGTCTTAATGTCACAAATTGTTGCACAAATATTGCATATATATGATAATGTTAAGCAGATAACCAAGCACACTGTACATGGTAATGAATGTTTAAAAAAAAATCACTTCTGTGGGTAACAAAAAAAATATATACGTTCCCTCTTTTTATTTTTCCCCAATCTCACCTGGCAGCAGGCCAATTTTTCATTTCCTATCGGCTCAGTTTAATGGACTAACGACTATCCCATAATTTCAATAAACAGCCAGAATTGGGTGGGTTTTAGGGTTTTCAGGAGCAAAGGCTGGGAAAGAAAGGAAAAATGTAACCCCCACCCGTGGAACCTTTGGCTGGATCTGAAGCAAGATCCGAATCAATTTTTTTATTTTTTAGTGAAAAACACGATTCTGAGGTTCTTCTAAATTCAACCATTACGATGGAAAAAGTTGTTTGGGGGGGGGNCATGTGGCCCTGTCCAACAATAAACCATCTTTCCAAGCAGCCTCCATGTCTCCAGTGTCTTTTCCCCCACTTAGAGCAGAACCCAGAAGTACATTTCTTTCATCAGATTATACTTATACTACCTGCAATGCTCCCTGAATCCAAGTTGCATAACACACAAGAGGAAATGAAGGAAAAAAACAAACAAATAGCTCCTCAGCTTCTATTATCGGCAAGATTTTAATCTTATTTTTAAATCTTATTACCAGGACTTCCCTCACTTCCCGATAGGGGGCAGCAAAGGAAAGCCTGGAGGACTCGCGACGCGACGCCGCGCGACGCTCTGGGACTTTTTTTAAAAACAGCGCTCTCTCGTCCACCCGGGAGGCGCGAGTGCGCAGGCGCGCGAAGGACCCGCGCCCGGCCTTCCCCTCACGAGGCCGCTGAGGCGGGCCGAGGGGCGGAGAATGGGGGCGGTGCGTGGCGGGCTCCACGGCGGCGGCCGCCCTCGGCCGGATTCGCTGGCCTGGAGGCGCCCGTGGCGAGCAGCAGCAGCGGCGTGAGACCTGTGAGAAGGAGGCCCACCGCTCGGACGGAGGGGCAGCACGAGCGAGAGAGAGAGGCAGCGGCGGCGAAGGAGGAGGGGCCTGGGCGCGAGGGTGAGTGACGTCAGCAGGAGGGGCGGGGCCGACCGGTGGTGAGGGAGAAACCGACTGTGCCAGAAAAGGGGGGGGAAACACAGGGGACGCTCGCCAGTCCCCCAACCTGGCGCCCGCGGTCCCTTTCCCCTCCATCAATGCAATTTGGTCTCTCTTCCAGCCCTCCTCAGGGACGCTGGACCACAACTCCCATCATCCACCCAACCCATACCAACCAGGCTTCATCCCGCAAGCCCAGGGGTCTCATCCTGCCCTGCATTGCATTGCACTCACAAACACACAACCTGCCTGTTTAGTTTGCACATTTGCTGGGGCTGTTGGTTAGCCATGTTGGTGTGTCGAGTTGTGTTGTGTGCAACACAACTCCAAACCTCCCTGTTTAATTTGCACCTTTGCTGGGGCTGTTGGTTGGCCATGTTGGTGTGTCGAGTTGTGTTGTGTGCAACACAACTCCATACCTACTTGGTTAGTTTTCTCCTTTGCTGTTTGTTGGTATGTTGGTGTATCATGTTGTGTTGTGTCACAACAAAACTCCAAACCTGCCTGGTTAGTTTCCACCTTTGCTGGGGCTGTTGGTTGGGTATGTTGGTGTGTTGTGTTGTGTTGCGTGCAACACAACTGCAAACCTGCTTGGTTTGTTTTCACTTTTGCTGTTGGTTGGGTATGTTGGTGTGTCATGTTGTGTTGCATGCAACACAAGTGCAAACCTGCTTGGTTAGATAAGGGTTCAGCAGTAACGACAACAACAACAACACTTTATTTGTCAGGGCACACCATACGTACAATGAGGTTGGTTGAGCTCCCTCGATGCAACCCCCCTCCCCAACAAAATACAACTCACAGTGAAGACAAAAAAAAAAGGAACAAGAAAAACCCTTAACCCAATAAATCATATTAACCAGCACCCTGTCCCATTACACCAGTGTGAACATGTTACACATTGTGCCAGCTCTGCAAGTCCATCGTATTACGTAGTTACGATGTTGTTTCGCCTTCAGGAGCCAGACAGCCCACGGATTAAAAACTGGGCTGATATGGGATTAATTCAATCACCCATTAAATGTGTTGTGTAACATAAAAAAAAAATGCCGCCTTATTTTTTTCCACGGCTGGGAAATTTGCATCTTGTGGTTGCGTTATAATTCCTGCCGTTCAACTTTCTTTACAACCTGATGTACCGGATTGCAACTCTTTTCACATAAGTAATAATTGATATTCCAAAGGTGCTTTCCCCCCAAAAAAGACAGATTTTAACAGGTTAACAGAGTTGGAAGAGACCTTGGAGGTCATCTAGTCCAACCCCCCCTCCCCCCTCCGCATTTCTGACAGTTGGCAGCCCAGTCTCTTCTTTAAAGTCTCCAGGGATGAAGCTCCCACAACTTCTGAAGGCAACTTCTGTTCCATGGGTGGATTGTTCTCGTTGTCAGGAAATTCCTTCTTATTTCTAGGTTGCTTCTCTCCTTGATTAGTTTCCACCCGTTGCTTCTTGTCCTGTCCCTCAGGTGCTTTGGGGAATAGCTTGACTCCCTCTTCTTTGGGGCAGCCCCTCAAATCATGTCTCCCCTAGTCCTCCTTTTCATTCAACTAGACATACCCAGTTCCTGCAGTTGTTCATTGTTATGTCTTAGGCTCCACTCCAGTCTCCTAAACCTCTTTGTGGCTCTTCTCTGCACTTTTTCTAGAATCTCAACATCTTTTTTTATAGTGTGGTGACCAAGTAGATTTTCTTGCTCTTTTTTTCCTTTGAAAACATTTCGCTTCTTTATCCCAGAAGTTTCTTAAGTTCAGAAGGGAAAGATTTTCAAATAATAATAATAAAAAAAACAAAACTAAGAAAGTCCAGTTGTCTTCTTGGGGGAAAAAAACACACCTTTGGGACAATCAGGACGTGGATGATTGGGAATCTTCATAGATAATAATCATAATTATATATTTGACACCTTCAAACAAGA